ATTTCAGTAATCCAGATGCGTGTATATAAAAGTAATGTTATTTTTGTCTTTCAGAAAAGAAGTTGCAATGGGGTATATTACATATAATTATAACACATCAATTTAAAAATTACTTAAATCTTACTTTTGTGGATGCTAAGTATAATCTTTGTGACATGATTGTCTCATTGACTAATAAATACTCTCCATTGAAACCTGGAATATATCAAGGAAAATTTGAAGATATAATACCATCACTTGAATGGCCTAGCTGTAAGTAAACAAAATACTTTGTATAATTACAATCATTAAACATTCTCTTTAAAGGGCAAGTTTCACTTTAAAGCTATTGCTAACAATGAGAATAGTGATGAAATATATTGTGGAATGATAGAAGTTAACATTGAAAAATAACATACATGTAGCTAATTAAAAATTGGAACATTTTATGATAACATTATTATAATTAGCAAGGATTATACTGAATCAAATCAATTTTGCTTTTAATATATCAGAATCTAAAATTACAAGTAAAAGCCATTTACATAAATCAATGATAGTTCAATGGTTTCCTTAACTAGGAAACCATTGTCCATACCAAATTATGCAAGCTTTGGTCCAATGTCACCCACCTTTATTCCTTTAATAATTAAAAAAAAATGATGAAAATGCTGTAGTTAAATTTAATACCTGGTAATGCTTGTGGTCCTCAAGGCTTCTATTTGCACAATAAATAAATGAATTCCTTCGTCTTTTCCTTTAATTATTAATCTTGCAACAACAATAGCATGTGTGGCAGTGTGACCATCTAAATTGCATGTATCCATCATGTAAAATTTAAAGAGATACTTATACCTGATCCAGGCCACCACTTGATTGAAGTTAGTGTTGGGGAATTCATAACAAATTCCTCAGTTGAGGGGTCAAAAGTTGCTATAGTTTCAAGACCTCTAATAAAGGTTCCTGAAATAACAAATTAAAAAGCAAAATAATTATTATTGATTGTACTATGTCCAAGTTCAGTTTGAGCATAACATCCAATGATATCAAAATTATAATACGAGATATTTTTAACCATTTCTCTTTTTGTTCTTCATTGCCTTTGACCCTATTATGTTAAGAATGTATTTACTATACACTGCTACCAGCACATGAAAATATAAATTTAATATAATTTATAGTATTCTAGTAACATAATTTAATTATACTGTTATTGTGTTTTATTGTTATTATTATTATTATCATTATCTTTCTCCTCCTCTCCCTCTCTCTTTATTATTATTATTATTATACATTGATCAATATTTAATTAGCGAACTTTTTTCTTCATGTATGTTGCTTACTTCAATTGTTGGTACAAACATTAACTCATGAACAGCCGCGGGGAAGTCATCATCTATTGCACTAAAATGATTAAAATTATCATAATGCAATCTAGCAGTATTATACCCAAATACCTTTCAAAATAGGCTTTGCCGTTACTTTTATTTAGCATTCCTGACTTTAATAATTCAATGTAATGAACATTTTTCCTCATTGCAGAGTCAAAAGATTCCTCAGTAGACAGAAAATACTTGTTGTCTCTCTTAAGTACTATTTAAAACTGAGCATAGAATAGATACTGAGCCTATTTCATTACTCCAAATATCATACCCATTTCTCTTCTTTTGTCAGTAAACACTGATCCTCCATCCAATAGGTTTATTAGCTCCTCCAAGTCAAGTCTGCTCCTTTCTCTCTCAACTTTTAGCTCGAAAACAACCTCAGCTTCAGTAGTCTGGTCCCGCCTTTATTTGAAAAAATAATAGATCTAGTGATGGTTATAATGACCTTGGTGTAAATAATGTGGCAAAAAACGAAATATCTACTAAACTCAGCACTTTTGCCTGATTGGTCCTAACGCAAGTCATCAAAAGTTTTAATTAGCCATAGCAGCATTCAACAGCAATAGTTCTAGTTTATACATACATGCACTTTACTAAAAGCATAAACAATGGCACTCAAACTTAATGTTATTTTAACTAAAAAGGCAGCAGAAGGTGAAGCATGTGTAAACATTACACTACAAAGTGAACAATATAACTCGAGTGAAAGGATAACAGCAAACACTTTAAGACCATACATCATTGAGAGCAACATATCAGAAGATGAATGCCCTATGGACGATCTTATCAGTTGTGCTAGTATGTACATTAACTGGATCTTCTAAAAGTTACTACAATGGTAAGATACTGACTAATGTACTAATGGATAATAATATACATACCATTAACTAAAATCCTGCTGATAAAGGATACATGGATTGTTGTAAGTTCAGTAATACACTACATTATTGTGATGTATTTTCTCTGGAACATAATACGTAAGCTACTTCTCATGATTTTGGTGAAATAACAAATGTAACATCAAATACACTTGGAAAAACAGTTAAGCCAGGACAAAACTACATTATCAGAGGAATCATAAAATTAAGTAATGAAGATAATCAATTGCTCAATTAATACATGTGTATTTGTCCTTT